TCACTATTTATATATTATTTTTTGTGCTGATAAGCCTGAGTGGTCTGTTGACTTACCTTTGTATTTGTTCAAATTATTGTTATTGGCAGGTTACAATATAAAACTGTTTGTCATAATCATGTCTTGTGATTATTTGACAGGAGTTTTACTTTTAAACTGTAAGTGTTTTTTAATTTAGTTGTGTTAGTTATGATAGTTTAGTTATGATGTAAATACAATAAAAAATTAAACAAAGATTTAGATTAGGATAATTATCATTTTGATCCATACAGTGGTAATGTCTGACTGGGCCTTGTGCCACTTTATGTTCAACAAACTGGGCCCCGAGGTCAAAAAGGTTAAGAACCCCTGGTCTATATTCTTCACGTCTTTATGTATTTTGTAGGAAGACGCACCAACCAAACACCCACAAACACAGACCACACATAAAAATAGAGCAAAGCTGCAACGTTGTTTCCTGTACTTAACATCATTTTATGAGAAAGAGGACAGGAGAATAAAGAAAGCGTGCAACTTTTTGTGTTGCCTGCATTTATATAAGCAACCAGTGTAAATCACATTGTGACACTTTCATCCATGTGTCTATGAATGCCCTGTTTTTACACTTCTTCAGATTTTCTGCTAAATGCCTGTTCTAGAAGGAATCCTCAGAATCCCAACATTTTGAACACATTCTAACGCTTTTGCAGATAAACACAAAGACCCTGGTTGTTGCCTGCCCGCAGCTGGCTCAGGCCTTTCAGATGAAGCTGAATTGATACTGATAATTTGTTTTCTAAAGAGGCTCACATTATCAGAGAGTGACACTCTGGAGCAGGGTGAGAACGGAGGATGTAGTTATTAATTTAAGACAGCTTCTATAAATAAAAGGCGTGTCTTCTCTGAGCAGAAAAAGAAAGCTTTTTTACTTTTTTCATGATTTAATTGAATCAAAGTGGCAGCAGTTCTCACCTCTAACTCAGAGGAGCTCCACGGATCCAGCAGCAGAGATTTCACTTTGCTGATCTGAGCGATGTTTCTGTGGAGACCTGAGCAGCTGTGACACACAAACACTCCCAGGGTGTAGGATGCCCACTCTGGGTCTGCAAAGCAACACAAAGACACATTGTTCAAATCTCTCAAATGAAAATGGTGTCATATTGTTCAAGCAAATGCAATTTTTAGGCTGATCTCATGCAACTATAAGAAATCATCAAAGTCTTGTTTGTATTTGTTTCGTGCCATTTCTTTATATAATAATTAACAAAAGTCACTTTTTAGAGGTTTAATAAAAGCTCAAATCTGAAAAGTGACAACACAAACCAACATGTTTTGTCCAAAGAAAATCAAAAATAGCACCATTATGCTCGGTAAAACGAATGTGTTTCTGAGCCTAACTACTTTATTTCACCCAAATTTTACCAAAACAAGACAGAGAAAAGCAAAAACCTTGTGTTCAGACTGCAGCACTGCAAACAACTATGATAAAGTAAAAAGAAAGGGACCTAAAATTCATCCTATCTTGCCCTAAGAATGAAAGTTTATGTGTCGTTTTATTATTTTTTTAATTGAGAAGTCAAGTTAGTGTCTTCAAAAGAAGTTTAAAGGTTATTTTTCCTTTGGTCAGAAGTGGCCCAAGCTGCAATGCAAACGTTCGGTTTGCAAATAACCACAAATAACCATAGAACATAAACTACTGTGTTGTGAACCTGACAGCAATGAAATATGAAACTGTTCACGAGAACCTTCAGCCTTGGCCCTTTCTCTCATGATTAGCTTGTCAATTTGAGACAAAGCCCAACCCAAACTGAGATTATTTTAAATAATAATAATAAATAAAAACTATCTACAACAGGTAAGATATTGATTGTTCAGAATTTTCCCACAGAACTCCATTACTCCTTTGCTTTTAAAAAGTACTTTTTCAAAGTCATTATTACAGGTTACACTTGTGCAGCTCTATTACGACCATATTAAACTGATGAGTCTCTTTGCAGTTTGCAGTTTCACTTTCACACAGTAGTTGTAGAAAACAGCAGTGACAGAAAGTTTTATTTAAAGCATAATTAACATCAAATGTATTCATTCTAAACAACTCAGGTAGTCAAAAGTTTCATTGAGCAGATTCTTAAAAAGACAGTTTGTATTGAATAAAAATAAAAACAGTTGAATCAGCTGTTGATGATGAAAGAGGCTGATGCAAAAACAAGAAGTTTTGTTTTTTAACAGAAAAAAACGTCATGCTGGAAATACATCAAAAACGAAGGCTTCTGAGATGAGATCAGAGTGAAGCAGACAGGAAGTGACAAACAACAAACTCGTCTGTGACTTTAATTTACTTTGAGCTGCGGTAAAGTTGTGAGTGACAACAGACATGTTGTCTTTCACAGTCACCACTCAGATCAGTGCAACATGAGCTGCTGCAGTGAAGGGTGGATCGAATCCTGTTCGAGTCAACATGAAAACTGGCACATGGATAAATCATTTAATTCTAATTTCCTGCAAAACGTTGCGCACGTACACTTGCATAGAAAAATCAAGATGTGTTCTCAGAAAATGAGATGTAAAAAAAATCAGGTATACAGGAAAACACCAAGTACGATCTATATAATCTGTGACAGCTTAAACTCAGCCACTTGATTTATCTCAAAGTCAGAAAACCTGAAAGAGCAGACAGTCAACAGAGCAGCCAGGAAGTTCTAACCTCACCACATTTCACAGTCATCACCAAAGAACTCATAAACTGCATTTGTTACAGAAGTGCAGATTTGAAATGAGTCACTCAGGCAGGCTGTAGGTGTGACCATCACTGAGGGGGCTGACCACAAACAGCCCATCAACATGAAGACATATCTGAGCCCACCTTTCAGATAAAACTGATCTAAAATAAAAAAATAAATAAATAAAAAATAGATTCAAAACTCTTGGAACTAAGCTGTTTTTAAAAATTCTGAGCAGAAGCCTTGAGAAATGAGTTTCATTATAGAAACAGCTTATTTCATCATGTCCCGCCTTACCTGCTGCCTGACTGAAAACTCAACAACAGTTCAGAAAAACTCAAAAATGTTTTTAAAGGACCAGAAAAGGGCGGGGTGGGGGGTGTTAAAGCTTCTAAGTGTCATTCAGTGTGTGTGTGTGTGTGTATGTGTGTGTGTGTCAGCAGCTCCAGCTCACCTGCAGCTCCACAATCTGCACACTTTCCATTCCCAGGTTTCTCCAGCAGCTGTTTAACACGCTGTCTGTTCCTTTCCAGTTCCGATGCCATCATTGTTTACTTCAACACTCGGTCCTGCTCGGATCTTCAGCTCGTGTCAGTCAGAGAGCAGACCTGTGGACACAGAGCTGGGTGTGTGCGTCTGAAGGCGTGCTGCAGTCATCTTCTGCTGGGAGGAAGCTGAAGCACCGCTCTGGTGTGGATGTTGGTGTCTGTGCCTTCACACACACACACACACACACACACACACACACACACACACACACACANCACACACACACACACACACACACACACACACACACACACACACACACGTCTGATGCAAACTGTCAACTCTGTATCTGAAGTGAGACACCCTGTGGTCACACAGAGATGGTTGTTTTGTTTTGTTTTTCTTAAAGCCAACACCCAGTTCCGATAAGACAGGAAGGGTTTTGGAAAAACACAAATCATGTTGAGGCTGTTTGAGTATAAAAAAATGAGGCAAAAAGAAAAATGTCTAAAAAAAATCTGTCCAGGAAATTAGTTTTATTACAATTAACAAACAACTACAATTTGGTTTTGTGATCAATTAACAAGAATGTTATTTGCAGATGTTTATAGTAACCAAGTACATTTACTTTGTTACAGTACTTAAGTAATTTGAGGATTTGTAATTTTACCAAGTATTTTTTTTTAAATTGTGACTTTTACTTTGTTACTTTATCATGATGTCATCAGTCACTTGGACAATTCACCTACACTGCCATCACTAATATGAACATTCATATACATTCATTTATTTACTGTACTAGGTATATGTACATTGTTATAGATCACGAGTATAGTGTTTTGTTTTTCTTTTACTTCTTTCTTTCTTCTATCTCACCCTGTCCTGTTTAGAGCTGCTGTAATGTGCAAATTTCCCCACTGTGGGATCAATAAAGTTTTATCTTATCTTTTAAAACCTAAAAATTATACTTTTACTTCTTTACTTTAAAGTTTAACACCTAGTTCCTTGTTACAAAAACTAATATTTACGTAAAAGGAAGCCACATCCGTCAGGTTATGTCAGAATGTAAAAAAGAACAATGAGTAGCATCTTCCAGGTCCTGAGATAAAAAAAAAAAAAATAAGACAACTTTAAATTTGATTCTGCACTTTTATTTTTCAAATTGTTTAAAAATTCAATACAAGGTAAAAAGAAGTCACATTTGAAACAAAATGTGGGTAAATCCCATTTGAGACACAAAAACTGAACTAAGTTTTCAGAAGCAACTTAACGCAAACATAGAGAAAAGAAATGCACACCTGCTCCTATCATTAAGACAGTCGACTACAGGAAATGTTTTTAGTTTCTTGTGAGTCCAGGGAGCAAGAGTTACAGCTGATCTGGTGTCACCTTCTTGAAAAATCACTTGATTTTGTTGTTGGTTGGTTTTTCTCATGACACCTGTTTATCTTGAGGAGTTGGAACTGGAACGAGAGCGGTGGCGCCTGCGACCAGGAGATCTGGAGCGGGAGCGGCGACGGGCCGGGGACCGCCTCCTTGGGGAGCGAGACCTAAATAAAAATGAGGATTTTGATGGATTAAAAAGGAATAAACGCAAATAGAAACACAATGAAAATCTGTTCGTAAATGGTACCTTCTCCTCATGCGTGGTGGGCTGCGACGCCACATTGGTGGTGGCGGGGGCATCCTGCGGGGAGGAGACAGTCTACGAGGAGGAGGACGGAGCCGCTGAGGCAGCACAGCAGCTGCAGTGATTTCCTGTCCATCAATCTGACCTGTTTGTATAACAATCATCAAACACAGTTGGTCAAAGTGACTAAAAACACATTCAGATTATTTCTGCAATCCAAAAACAGTAAAACGAACCTCCATCCATGTGTTTGAGGGCCTTCTGAGCCTCCTCGGAGGTCTCAAACTCCACATAAGCACGGCCCATACTCAGGTGTGGGTGGAGCCTGTCGATCTGCATCTCAATCATTTTTATTTTCCCATAAGTAGAAAAGATCTCCTGGATGTGCTCCTGTTAAACCAAGACACAGACTCTCAGAAATTTGTGTTACAAAATTATCTTGATTAATAACAAATAAAAGTTTTTTGTTTCACCTGTCTGCTTAACACAACTCAAAAGTGTCCTTTCAGAAATTCCTCTTTTTGATATTTTTCGAGTTTCTATAAAACCAAACTAAACCTGAAATCTAAAAGTCTGACCTAAACCCTGATCGACTTCAGCCATGTTGATTACTGCACCAAAAGAAAAACAAATTATTTTCTAACCTTGGTTATGTTCCTGGTCAGCCTTCCTAAATGAACTTTTGTTGGTTTAGGGGTGGGGCTTCGTTTTCGTCGTTCCTTGTCCTCTCCCCTCTTCTGTGTTTTAGAGCTGATAAACAATCAGAAAAAACTGTAAACAAACTAAACTGTGCTTCAAACAACAAATTATACAACATATTAGGAATGCAAACATTCCGACTGTCAAATAATTATTTATTAGTAGGGGTGCAACAATACATGTACCGAACAGTGCTGTATCGAACAATACAGATTTTCAAAATTTAATTTATCAACTTGTCTCCTGAAGATGCTCTGTGTTGAAGGATCAGTGGATCTGTGTTCGACTACTCCACCTAGGCTGCATTTTTGAGCGCAGATCCACTGAGAAACTTGCTGTTTCAGCAACATTAAATTTAAAAACTGCACTTTTGAGGTTAAACAAATGTTTATAATTAATTTAAATAAATTACAAGTTAAAAGGGGCATGGAAATTTCTCTTTTTTGTATCGAAAAAATATTGAACCGTGAGACTAAAGTTTCGAACCGAACCGTGAATTTTCTGTATCATTGCACCCCTGTTTATTAGATAAAAATCAGTTCCATTCAATTAACTGACAACATTTGCTGTAACAAGTAAGATATGCCCTCTCTGCAACTCTGGTTCAATTTGAGTCCAGAGTAGAGAATTTAAACTTTAAGACTGGTTTTAAATTGTATTGATAGGCCAAGTAAAACCAATTATGATAAATAATAAATGCTACCTTTTTATTTTTGTAAAAACAGAGCACCTTCTGAGACCCTGCAGCCTCGAGTCGTGCCAGGAGCCTCCAGGCTGCGGCCCCTCTGTTCGTCTTTCCCCTCCACAATGCCAGCCTCGGGAAGTGGCGAAGGATGTGCATTGGCCTCCCCGGGCACCTGTTTGTCAATACCAGGCCCTCGCCTGGGGTGGCCGCGTGGCCCGTCTACTACGGTTGTACCATCATGCATCTGCTTGTACAACTAGCCATTTTTATGTTACTGCTAACATTAACGCTGTTTGGAGGGCGGAGCTAACATAAACAGCAGCAGCTTATTTGCATAAAAGGTCACTCTGAAAGGAGCTGAGACCAGATGAAATCTCATTATCTGAAAATGATTTTGTGTATTAAATCTAATGAACATGTTTTGTACAGCCCACAGATGTATCCTATATCGTTCAAGGAACCATAATTGGTCCCCTTTAAGTGTTTCACATATTTTTATCTTTTCTTCAAAATTTTCCTATTCAGCAACCTAACAGAATCCTGTTTTACTATAAATATTTCCAAGTTTAATAATGTGTGAGAAATCTATTTTTAATTCAGTCACTATTTAATACATCTGGGACAACGAATTGTTAAATTATAACAATGTGCTCCTTCTTTGACATTCAGCATATAAAAAATGAACCCTTCATGTTAAGGAAAGACCCTCTTGATACGAGATAAAACAGGTTTTTAAGGCAATGGCCACTAATCAATTACTCGTTAATTGATCAATAAAGTCAATCAACTTTAAATTAATTCATTAGTTGCCAACTTGCATGCCTACAACTTATACTGAAAGGTCATCAACAAGAGGTCTTACGGAGAGCGGGAGCGTCTGCGGTTGTCATGACGCCTGCGGCTGGGGCTTGGAGAGCCCGAGGAGCTGGAAGAGGAAGATGACCGAGAGCTCGACGACCCGGAGCGGCTGGAACCAGAGGAGCTGGACCCACTTGAGGAGCCCGAGCTGGAACCAGAGCTGCTGCTGGATGATGAGCTGGATCTAGAACACGGTGAGAAGGAAGAAAAGCGGTTTGTTAAAATGTTCAAAACAAACTTTACTTCCAACACGAGGATCAAATCTTAAAACGATGCATTTGGAAGCAAACCTGCTGCTGCTGCTGCTGCCAGAGGAGGCGCTGCGACGTTTCCTTACTTTCTCCCGTCCTCTCTCCTTTTCTCCTTCCTTGGTACCAGTTTTTTCTTTACCTCTATCTTTTGTTTTTTCATCCTCCTTCCTTTTTGTTGGCGATGGTGCCCTACAAAGATTTCAAGATTGGAGTTATTTTCAACATGAAGTGAGCACATTCAGACAAATGTGGTATTACCACCAAGTCTCATCTGTCATTCTCAACATGCAAACAAAAAACAGTGACTGCCACAGCAAACTTTTGCATGATTTATTGATTCTTGTACATTTTAATTATTAATAAATATTATTTTCTAAACTAGTCCTAAAGATACTTTTCTTCTAAAATTAACTTGTGTAAAACCATTCAGTTTGTAAAAAAAAAAGGTTTCTATGGTGACAAAACATCATCCTCATATCGCACATTTGTTTTGTCAAGAGTTCAAAACACTACAAATGAGCTAAACACTAAACTACAATTTATATTAAAGTTGCATTTGAAAGAAAAAATAGGAAAAAATGGATTTTGACTTACATTGCATGTTGTCTAGTTTAATTCGAAAGAGATCAAACAGTATTGCACGTACAAACAGGGGAAAATCAGTTTAACCCAAGAAATGAGCAATGAAACATAGAATACAGACGATAATACGCAATACGAAAACCACCCGTTTTTAATCATTTTTAAATTTCCGTGGATTAGATATATTGAAGTATTGTTAAGACTGTAAACAGTATTTAATTGTGTTATCAGGGAAACATCTGCACACGGACAGAAAATCCGTCGCCATTCAGTTTCATTCAACTCGTTGCAGAAAACAAGAAGAGCGCCGCCGCGCTGAATTTAACCGACTACCCTGCTCTGCTCACAGCGTACAAACGAAAATAAAACCTATCACAATTTCCTTAAACCATTAAACATACACTACATTCAAAAAGAAAGTTAATTGAAACAAATAACAGCTTAAACTTACATTTTTGTTTTCGGTGACAAGGTGGCTTAGCTTGGACCACTTGCGGCCTTGAGCAGAGTCGACTGTTGATGATGACACCGGAAGTGACGCAACTTCTAAAGCGACACTAACAACTCATTTGTTTATTTTACGATGCTGATGATAAAATGGCTTTTTAGCTGTGTAGGACGGAGTTGTCGGAGTACAGAAAAGAAACGTGATTTCTGTGTATGAAATGAGTTGAAGCAGCGGTTCCGCTTCCTTTTTGTCAACAAGACATCGCGGGGTGAGCGCAGCACCTTGTAATTATTATGTATCTAGCTAGCTCAGCTGAACAACTCCTGTGGTGTATTGATGTTATTTACCATTGGAACTGATTGGGATCAACAGTAAATAGTACAATGCCATTGTGATTTAATGGTTAATGTTAGAATCGCATGAGTGAATAGTCGTGGTCACATTATGACATTTCTTTAACACGACTTTATGTATTGTGACTGCCCACACCATAAACATTACAGTGAATAAACTCAAACATAAGTCAAATACTTTTAGACTGGATTATATTAATGATATATTAATTTGTCATCGAATTACTTCAACCACTTGTTTGCACCGTGTGAGATTACCTGAGATTATAAACATTAATGTAAATGCATGTTAAACCGTATTTAGTTGTAATAAAACAATTGCAACACAAAAAATAAGTTGTCAGAAACTGATATGTACATATAAGCATTAGTTTAGTTTATATGTTATTTCAGTTCAGTTTTTATGCAATGGTTATATACTGTACATGTGTTATTGTATGTATGAAGAATATTTGCCTAAATGCTAAAAATAAAGCATAGTGCTTTTTTAATTATGCACTGTTTCTTTTCTTCATTCCTTGAGAACAGTGGCACATTTGACTGTGTGGTATGAACTGTTACATCTCAGCTAAAATAAACAAAGGCATTACTGACTTTACAGGTGTTTTTACAAACTTAAATGTGCAAATGGTAATAACACATAAAACAGTATGAACACTAAATGTATGTTGCATTTGTAAAGTTACAACAAGTTAGTAATAGTTTTTGTCTGTATTTTCTAGAGATTAGCGTCTGAACTCACAGGATTGTTCTGAAGTGAATGACCATGGGCCGGCTCGATGATGCTGCCAAACACAAAGTGGTGGAGCTGCGGAAGGCGGGTCTCAGTTTCCGTAAGATCAAAGCCGTGCTGGAACTGGAGAACATCAAGGTGTCTGCTCAGGCCATCTACCTGTACCTGAGAGAGGTGCAAGGTAGGCCGCCAGGCAGAGTTAGACCTGTAGAGGCTGGAGGGAGCACGTTAACCCAACAGGTGCAGGCTCGAACCAGTGCCTTACGAGAGAGCTGGAGCGACTTTCATCTCCAGAACCTAATGAGGAAGGTTTCTCACCACGCTGAGCTTGCAGCTTCTACAGATTTTGCCAAGCAGGCATCTACAAATTCAGAAACTAGTGCAAAGTCTTCCGCTTCTGAGGAGAGCAGTGGAAACAGCAGGTCAGAGCAGCAGCATGTGGCAAACAAGGAAGAAAACGACATTCAGATTGTTAGTGTCACTTCCCTTGCACAGCATGGCCAGCAGAGAGGTACTCAGTCCACTGTAACTAGAGCACAGACAATTCCCGCGTCTTCCACTTTAACAGCTTCTGCAGCATTTATGAGGAGGAGAGTCACACCTTCTCCTGCCACCAGTTCAATGTTAGCAGCTCGGAAAAGACTTTTGGATAAAGCATTGTCACACAAAACAAAGGTACCTGCTTATATCAAACTTGTTAAAACTTCTATTATAAATGTGTGATTTGATTGTTTAAAGTAGTGTAGAATAAGAAAAGACCATTTTCTTATTTTGTTTTTGTTTTGTTTTTCCATGTGTTTTTTTTTTTTTTTTTGTGCAAGTTGCTGTTTCAACTTGGTTCAAATTGTTCTTCAACAGTCATTCCACCAGGTGGCAGCATTTCTGAGGAGAGATCACGCAGGTGTTCAAAGTTCTGATTTAAGCAGCAGTCTTGCTCAGCCAACCCCAACCTATGATCTGACCACGGAAAAGGTGAGAATCCTGCCAATTCTAGACATGCAGCAAAACTCAAGTCTTATGCTTGAATTTCCTTGTGATTTCTTGATGATAAATCCAGTACCATATCAAAAAGGAAAAAAAGAAGTAGGTCCTGTGGATGGGTTCTTCTTTAGTGAAACGTTTCGTCTCTCCTCCAGTACCATATCTTTTTAAGTTGGATGTTATTTGACACCCAGCCTTCCCAAAAACTCTCATCAGTTACCTTTTCCCTTACTGTATTATAGACCAAAGTTTCTCAAACTGAGGTCCAAGGACCCCCAGGGGTCTGCAAGAGGTATCTTGGGGATCATCAAAAGATTTCAATAAATTGTTAATTTGGTATTTGTTTTTAAAAATGCATGGGGAACAATTAACTAATAAAACAAACATAATAAAAAAAAATATATATAGGGGTTGAAATGACAGTAAATAATCTTTTAACAACATGGTGTTTATGAGGGGGACCCTGAAATTTTTTCGCCCTTGTAAGGGGTCCTCAGACCCAAAAGGTTTGAGAACCCCTGCTATAGACATTACTTTAATTCAATGTGGGTTTTTTTTATTTATATATATTACAGATTGTTAATGAGGGACAGACTGAAGGTACCAGTGCCCCCCACCGCTTCCCCACACAAAGACCAGGACTAAGTGTCCGCTCCCTTCAGCCTCCTCCTCGTGTTGGGATTCGTCTTCCTAATCGTCCAATGGCACCTTTGACAGCCTCAGTGCCTGGGGCCGTCCTTCGTCTGCAATCCCCAAGGAGCCAGGGTGTCACCCGTAGTGAGGGGAGTCCAAGCTCACAGCAGGTGGTCCAGGATGCCAGAGGGAGAGGCACTTTGCAGGACCAGATCCAAACTCTGGGCTCCGAGGTGCGAAGTCTGGGACTGGCAGTGAAGATGCTCGTGGAGCAGCAGTGTCGTTTGGAAAGGGAGCAGTCCCAGCAGACGCAGATTCAGAAGCAAATCCTGAGCACTCTGCAAACCATTGCTTCTAAAACAGGAAACTGTGACAGTGTTCCACAGCAGCTCAACAAAACTCCATCGCTCTCTGCTTTGCCAGCAGTCTCAGCCCCTACCTCGTTCAGTCAAGACACCTACAGCTTCACTCAAGGCACGTACACACAGTGCGGCCAAACCCAGCCGAGCTACAACGCTTTAGAAAGCTTAGAAAGCGTCGAAGCGTTTAAAGTGCCAGGACTGAGCCCTGCGAGCATAAATGGGTTTCCACCGTGCAGCAACGCCGAGAGCCTTCCTCTCACGCACACGCCCCCTCAGACACAACCATATGCATCTGAATACTCACAGCAAACCAGTCAAACACACCTTCCGCCCTACACCCAACCGTACGTCTCTACTTACAGCCAGGCAAACACTCACACCTACAGAATGCCGGAGAGTAAAACGTCGGATTTCTCCAGCAGCTGTTCAACGAGGACTTTTGCAAATTGCAGCATATCTCCTCAGCAGATTGTAAACTCTAACCACGCTTCACACGATCTACAAATCAATACTATCAAAGTGGAAGGACCTTAAATTCCACACTATTAATCTTTAGAATGAGACTGTTTTTTACACTGAGTGTAGCATTGTTATCTAGGACAGACTTTTTTTTATAATTAAAGGAAGATGTAGCCTAATGTTATTATTTATTTCCAAAGATAATTTTTAACCAATACATTCAGCAATAGCATAGATCGCAGTGCTTTCTTAAAGGGGCAATATCATGTAAAATCAACTTTTTTGAGTTTTATATCATGTTATAATGTAATACTCTCATGAAAAAAACATGCCCAAAGCCTTGCTTTGACTCATTCATGCATGTTTGAGAAATCCTGCAGTGTTTTTAGGAAGCCATGCTGAGGAGCAAAACGACAGGTGGGGACCAGGAACGCCTTTGGTACCAGGAACGCCTCTGGGATGTGTCTCCAAGCTGAGCTTCCTCATCACGGAGCACATCTCCTCACCCCACACCCCACACACACCACCCATGACTCCTGCAGGCTCTCGGGTGAAATTGAAAGTGAAACTCAACTCTCTGCTGCTCTTAACACTACTGCTCACTCAGTGAAGCTCTTTTCAGATTCAAAATACCTTTGAGGAAATGTATTTTCAGATGCCGAGTAAACTGCATCATGGCACGTGCGACMCCCCCCCCCCCCACCCSYGTTCAGAAGAGGAAGTGATGAGAACATAAGTTTATTTTCTATTTAAACATAAAAACAGCATTTTAATAACAACTAAAGGTGACATAGATACTTTATTATGGTATAGTATTTAAATGTATGCCTGAGAAGCACAATATTGCCCCTTTAAGACTGTAATGATTTGTTTTTCTAATAGATTTAGGGGGAAAAAGCAAAGGCAATGCTTTTTGTAGTCATAGATCATGTACATTTTGTATCTGTTTATTATTTATCACTATAACACGTAATAAAAACTGTTCATTTTCCAAACCCTGTTTGAGCTTGTTTAAAAATATTAAAGAGTTGCTTATGAATTGAAATACATAGTTTTATTTATTTTTGGTTTGTTTTGTTTAGTTTTTTTTTACAGCAGTGGTGCCAAATACTGGTCCTCCAGGGTTTTACTTCATTTATAAGAAACTTGTTTTTAAATCAATGGTAAACTTTAAATTTCTGATTCAGTGCAACAAAATAACTCAAATAACAAATGTGAAAAAGTGGTTTTCCCAGAAAAGATTCACAGAGGTTAGTGCCATGAATTTACATTCAACAAATATCAAAAGTGACTGTTTCAGCAATTTATACTTTTATCAATCTAGCCTTTTTAATTTCATTTTATAATTAGTATAACCAAGGATTTTGTCTCATCAGTGTAGACTAACTAATCACTGCAAATTAAGTTGTACGTTGTGGGTTTAATTTAAAAATTTTACAGGTTTGCTACTGTTTAACATCATTTTGTAAGATGTAATATGAAAAAAAAAAGAATGGAGCTTTTTCACCCAACAGTGTGTAAAATGACAAATAGCCATTCCAGCTTCAGTTGCGTCGGACAACACACAGATTCTGAGGTCGAGGACAGAGGGTGAAGCCCACAACTGGGGTTAAATCCAGCTCATCCTCTGAAACTCCAGGTGGGGGAGTGAAACGAAAGTGCTGAAGAAGAGAGGTGAAGAAGAGGAACAGCTCCATTCTGGCCAGACTCTCTCCAATGCAGGCTCTGCGACCTGCATGACAGGTGAAACAGGACCCTCTGTGAGTTTTAGTTGGCTAAAGCAGAGACCTTGCAAATGGAGGCCAAAAATGAATTTAGGCACATACTAGTGGCTGTTTTGTTGTCTTGTAAATTAAAGGCTAATAAAACCAACGATATCTTCTTAAACCATAATCCTTTCTGTAAAAGTATTGAAATGTGTCTATTATTGTAAGAAAAGTTCACAAAGTACCTGCAGAAAACGGTATGAAGGCATCTCTCCTGATGAATTTACCCTCCTTATCCAGAAAATGAGACGGGTTGAAACTGTGTGGGCTCTCCCATTCACTCTCATCATACAGGACAGACGTGAGGAGAGGAACAACTGTTGTTCCCTGTAGGTAAAAATAAAAATAAGCAGGCTTAAAATAAACATTACCATCTTCAGAAATGGTTCCAGATCAATGGGCCTCATGCAAGAACATTTCTGTATTCTTATGCTAAATTTCTCTTACTTCTTTTCTTACGAAGGGCTCGTACAAACATGCCATGTCAGATTGAGAAAACGCTTTTAACTTCAGGAAAAGTGTGGAAATGTGCAGCGTAAACATGATGAATGCTACCTGTTCATATTCAGGTGGTCGTGCACGAGGAGATTAGCATAATTACCACCCCAAAAACACCATATAAGGCAATGCTTCCTGCCCTGCATTCCAGGAAGCGTCTATTCATGAAAATGGCAGCGAAAAGTAAAAATACCTTTGGAGATTGAAGTCCTGCTGTTTGACATCCAGAAAATAAAATTTGTCATTTTTAGTAGCATCAGTCGTAGAATTAAAGGGCCTGCTAAAGTCGAGTGATGAAAGGACGACTGCTGTTAATGCCGTGTATCCCGTGGGTCGTATACAGTCACAGAAATAAAAATCTAAATCATTCATCTCTCTTCTAGTCCTGCTCTTGTTTTCTTTTGCTCAAATATGTTTAATTTAAGTCATGTGGAAGATACGGGGAAACAATTGTGTTAAATCATTTTCATTTATTCAGAAGAATAGCAGTTAGACACGGCACCACAGCCCAGACCATCCGATGTGCCAGTCCCCCGCCATCTCCTGCGCACACAAGTGGTGTCAGATGTGGTTCTGAAGAATCAAGAAAGCATTTTAAAATGTCTCCAAAATATTTCTGGCACTTTGGAGAAAATAGCAGTCTTGCGTGCATAGCTGATGTGCTAAATAAATCTCAAAATAAAATTTGATTAAACAAATAACATATGTCTGAATAAAGTTGTTGATTATGTTCACTTCCCATTGACCTCATTACACACAGAGACAAATTAAACTTCAATTCTTATCTTCAAACTAATGAAATATAAATTTTTTTAGTGAGGAAAATCCATCGGGATAACAGCAGACTGCTTGTAAAATAAACGACAGGTCTGGACCACACGTGAATTTTGTTTGTATCTGAAAAAAGTCTTAGGATATGAGAAAATTGGTGAATGCCACAAGTTCTCCTAAATCACTCATACGCACAACTTAAGAACAAATCTGTTCGTATGAACGGTTCTTGCATGAGGCCCAACGTCTACCACTAACCTCACTGATGAAGTACCCCTGAAAAGTGACATCTTTACTTGTTGCGTGAAGAATAGCCATCGGGAGAATGTTTGCAAGTCTCTGTGTTTCATGAATAACAGCGTCAGTGTACGGCAGGTTCTTCCTGTCTTCTGTTTGAACCTGCCGGCTTCCCACCACCCTGCTCAGCTCCTCCTGAACACGAGCTGGATGAGACATTAAAATATGAGTGCATGCACAACACTTCATTTCCAGGTCTATAAACTGAAATGAGCTTAAGGAACATAAAAAACACAACCTTGAATGAGAGGGTATTTGGTCATGTAAAGGAGACTCCACTTCAATGTATTTGCAGTAGTGTCATTTCCACCTTGAAGCAAATTCAACACACTGTACAGCAGGTTATCATCATGGTAGTGTAATATTTTATTTTCAGAATCCTAGTCAATAACAAAGAGAAACTATGTTTAACATTTACAGCTTGGAATTTGACTCAAAATGTTTTTTAAAAAAACTCACCTCCAGATGTTTTCTACGGATCAGAAATGCATCGACAAAGCATCTGCACACCTCAGGGTTCAGAGTTTTCTTTAGATCTGCTATTATCTTTCTCACATCAACCTTGTTGCCCTCAACATTCTTGATTAAATCACGGCAGTTTTTAAGAAAGGGGCCGAGCCAAGGGAAAACGTTGTATAGCTGAAAAACAAAAGTTCAGTGTGACCATGACGGTGAACAGTCTTTGTTTTCAGCTCATTTGAAAGTTGTTTTGAGACCCCCATGCTGCGACTCTTCAGTGAAGATGCAAAGAGGACAAAAACTTACAATTGCCCCCATTAAAAACTCTCTCATAATTGGAGTCACCTGTTTACTGGGGTCAAGGGTCACTGAACTTACCAAACCAAATTTGAGTTCCAATAAAGGTTTTGATATCAATTAAATGAAAACGGTGCCCAAATTTATGCACCTGCCTAATTTTATTTAACCAGTTATCGTACCCTTTCTGTAAATAATTTGAACTTCATTTCACTTCTCAAATATCAATGTGTTTGTCCCCTTTATGATATATTTTACTGATATTTTTTATCCAAACAATCAATGATTTATAAAAGGTAAATCAGGAAAATTAACAAGGCTGCCCAAACCTTAGCACCTCACTGTAAATATGTGGACTCAGGAGGTTTACCACTGTGTTTGTTACGATTTAAATGTTTGCTTTTATTGTGAAGGTCAGTAGCACAATTTGATCGCAATTTTTTTAGTTAATTACACACCCGCCATGGTGTTGGGTGCGTTGTTCAGTTCTACACGCCACTTCATAATTTTACCCGCATTTGGCCAGTGGCGGGTGCTAATTTCCACCCCTGTACACAATCTCCAAGCAGCTTCACGTTTCTCTAACTACAGCTGTTGATATTATTTAAAAATATATGGTTCATGTGACCATAGCTGGATGTCCAGGACATGGACGCAAGGGGCAATGCTACTCCAGGTTAAATCAGACAAACAAATTCTAAAAAGATACTATACATTTCCCCATAATGAACAGTTCAACACGGGTCTTCTGAACTGTAATTTCCCCTTGGGATCAATAAAGTATCATCAAATCAAATAATCTTTAAGCAAGCCTGTCTTACCCACAGTGAAGCTGTTCCTACCAGATGGATGATCTCATTGTCTCGATCCACCACAGCCTGGAAGACCGGATCTTTGTATTCAAATCTCTTTCCAAACATTAAAGCTGATATAACATTTGTAACAGCATAATGAACGGCCTTTGTTTTGTCAAAGATGTGACCTGTCGGGGGAAAAAAAACAATCTGATTAAAAAGTGTGAATAGGGTGAGCATGCATGTACTCAGCTAGTTTAAAATGACCACAGTTTGACAGCATAGAAGCTGAAGGGCTGTAAAGAGGAGAACTACTGGTGGACTGAATGCACCAGTCCAAGAGGATTAGGAGAAAAATTTAAGTGCACAGATCAGGCAGACTGATGCATTTAACAGTCTTGACATAACAGACCATTTATTCTCCTCAGTAAACACATTACAAAAACAGCAACAAACTGAACAAACTGTCACAGAAGAGTGCAGAGGTTTGAGAAGCCTTTTTCTCCATCTCTGCTCTATGACTGGTGTTGCACATGTTATTAACTCATTTTAGTGGAACCAGTTGGCATAACTCAGCACCTAATTCCTTAGGGTTTAAGTTTCAACAGTGCCAATTCATACACAGATGCTCCATTCATACTGTTTAGGTAAACAGAAATGATAGGCTAATTCCATGACCTCATATTTTGTTATCATGCACATTGTAGGCCATTTAATTGGTTTGTTCCTTGAAACCAACTGGTTAAACTTTCACTTTTGTGTTGTTAGTTAGAAAATTGTTACCTTCAAATTGTTCAAATTCTTTTATCAAGTAGTTACACTCTTCAATAATTATTTCTTCACTCATCTTTTTGCCCATTCCAAAATCCCTCAGAGTTGCCAGAGCAAAACGCCTCATTTCTTTCCACGAATCTCCATTAGAAAGTACCAAACCTGAAAGCAGAACAAGTTACCAATAATTTGTTTTACCGAGCTTAAAAATAATCACTGTGCAACAAAATTATTACCATATCCCTTGTTTATAACAAAGAAAGCTGGAGTGATTTCTCGATTTCCAAACTCAACAGCCTGGTTCACCAGAGCCTGTCTGACTGTTCTGTAACCTGCCAGAACCACCACCTTCTGTGGTCCAAAGGAGACTTGGAAAACTGGTCCATATTTTTTGGAAAGCTAAAAACATAAATCCAGCTCAAAGTAAGAGTCAATATTGTTTAGAATAAAAACATTCATTGATAATAATTAAAGACTAGGACAATTAATAAGTTTCGCACATTTAAAAGGCTTTGGTCGAGTCTCTTCAGATTCAGCTGAAACAGGTTACCAAACAGAGGAACAGGTCTGGGTCCTGGAGGTTCTGGCTTCTTGTCAGAGTTGAAGTTGGAGTGAAGAAGATGGAGGAGCAGCAGAGCAACAAAAACTCCAAACAGCGAGACTGAAGTCCAGGATTGTTGATCTTCAAACATGGTGGGGTAAGAGGTCGAAAATTTCTCTTGGGAAGAAAAAAGGGACTTTATATTATTGTTATCCATATGATGTTATGTTAATAAAATGAAATTAAATAGGTCAGTCACATCAAACGCTTTTATACTGACATTTTAGCAGAGATTAACAGAGCATTCTTAATGAAATAGAAGCAATACATTGTCACATAAATGACTTTGCTTTAAAAATAGGATCAAGAATAAATCCTTTACTGCAATGTCCGACCAGAATCGTTGCACACATCCTCTGCAGCTTTAAGGATGATGTGGTCAAAAAAGCAGTTTACTTTAGATCAGCTCCTCAGTGTGCCCATTTAAGCAAGAAGAAAATGCTGAACCCTCAAAACCATGCTCCTGTCAGTGTTTCAATAAGTTTAAAGTCTCACATGTTGCAGTGGCACTTTTCTTTTCAAATTTAACATGTTTGTGTATAAAAAAAAACAAGTTCAAGCAAAGTTTTCACAAGCAAAAGGCAAGTAAAGAATCTGACAGCTGCTTTTTAATTTCATGGCTAATTAAGAATATTAATTGTTCTGACTTTCTTTCAATTTTAGTTTGATTTTTTGTATAAAACTATTGTAACTCACCAAAATCACTGGAGCCTTAAGACTAAAGTCCTGATTAATTTGCTGGTGTTGGGCCAAAACATGAGTAATTTTAAACTCCACCCACCTGTGGAGAAACGTCTGAATCATCAGAACCAATCGTGTTGAAATGGTTCAACGTTTTCAAATAAGTAGGGCGCTAACTGCTGGTAACCTTTGACATTACAGTTGAATGAAAACTGGCCCAGGTGTCATGAAACAGATGGGCAAAATTTGTCCCTGAATGGAACCTTTCTTGGTCTTTATTTTATTTTTAATTTAAACTTGTTTTCTTTAGGACCTGCAGTGTTTCGTGAATCACTCTTACCTGCCACCTGAGTTGCATCAAGCGCAAATTTGACAGCTCGTCCCTGCAGGAAGTCTTTTTTGTTTATTTATTTATTTATTTGTTTATTTATTTATTTATTTATTAATCCTGCAGAGCTATGAATCTCATAGGCTCAGCCATCTCTAACACCAGCTTGCTACAGGAGACCCAGGAGCCTCCACAACCCAACCATCAATTAAAAAAAGAAAGGATAGGTGGAACTTTTCTTAGCATGAACACACACACACACACACACACACACACACACACACACATACATACATGTGTATATAT